GAGTGTCTACCCCGAGTTCCACCTCGGGGCTTTGCAGGTCATCTCGGAGTGGAAGCGCGGACTGAAGAAGGACTTCTGGTTTGGTGCAATTACATTGGCGCCGTCTGTGGGAATCGAACCCACGACCACGTGGCTAAAAGCCACTGTTGACACCTTGGTCACTTCTGTAATAATTAATAACCGTGAAGTACAACGTGTCCTTGTTGACACCGGGAGTGCACCAGACATCATGTACTTCCACTGTTTCGAGAGTCTGGGACTGGATCCAGCATTGTTGCAGAAATATGATGGTCCTATCTATGGTTTTAACAACCAGCCTGTTCCGGTAGAAGGAGTTCTTACCCTCCATGTGGCTTTTGGGAGTGGCAGGACCTATGTGACCCCGTCGGTCCGGTTCCTCGTAGTAAAGATGGCGTCCTCTTTCAACATTGTTATTGGTCGACCCACACTGATTGAAATCTGAGCTGTAGTTTCCCAATCTCACCTCTGCATGAAGTTCCCAACTCCTATGGGAATAGCAACACTGCGAGGAAACCAGGAGGTGGCCAGACATTGTTATATCACCTCGGTAACACAACCCATGAAGGGCAAAGCTCAGACACCCGAGGCCATTCCTCAGCAAATTCCTGATAATCAACAAGTTATGGGTGTTAAGATCGTAGATAATCGACCGGAAGATGAAACCAAAGCTGCTCCGGTCGAAGATGTTGAAGAAGTGCTCATTGATGACAGAGATCCGAGTCGAAAGACGCAGATCGGAACTAGATTGAACCCAGAGGAAAGGGCAGAGCTAATAGCTTTTCTTCTAGCTAATAACTTTTCTTCTAGCTAATAATGATGTATTCGCATGGACTTCGGCAGACATGCCAGGAATTCCAAATTTAGTCTCTCAACATAAGCTCAGCACCAATCCATTGAAGAAACCAGTGGCCCAGAAGCGACGTCTCTTCGGGGGTGAGAGGCTTCAGGCTATTAAAGAAGAGGTAACGAAGCTCCTACAGGCTGGTTTTGTCAGGAAAGTTGATTACTGTGAATGGGTGGCTAACCCAGTTCTGGTGAAGAAGGCAAATGGCAAATGGAGAATGTGCATTGATTACACAAATCTTAACAATGCCTGCCCTAAGGATTGCTATCCAATGCCGAGCATTGACAAACTAGTTGAAGCAGCTTCAGGCAATGAGAGGTTAAGCCTCTTGGACGCATATTCGGGGTATCACCAGGTGCCAATGGCTTCAGAAGACGAAGAGAAAACCGCGTTCTATGCTGGCGATGAAATTTATTGTTATGTCATGATGCCGTTTGGCTTGAAGAATGCAGGTGCTACTTATCAGAAAATGGTAACCATTGTCTTCCATGCTCAGATTGGCAAGAATCTGGAGGTATATGTCGACGACATTGTGGTAAAGAGCCTAAAAGCAGAAGACCATCTCGCCGACCTTGACGAAACCTTTAACAACCTTAGAAAGAACAGGATGCGGTTGAACCCAGCCAAATGCATCTTCGAAGTGGAGTATGGAAAATTTCTAGGTTTCATGGTGTCCCGAAGGGGAATTGAGGTCAATCCAGAGAAGATCAGAGCAATTGCCGAGATGGAACCACCGAAATCAGTGAAGGATATATAGAGGCTGACTAGAAGGGTGGCAGCTCTGCATCGGTTCATATGAAGTCAGCAGATAAATGTCTGCCATTTTTCAAAATTATGAGGTCAGCCGCCCAGAAAGA